GGGAAATATTCGCGATTGTATCCTCGATTTCGTCAAGACAAGTTGCTTGAATACACCTAGAAACCCGAGATTATTTTCACCGGCGTGGTGTCGCGAGTTAAGATATTTCGGTTTTCGCACGCTAACGCGTAGATTGAAAAGTGTCTTTACCCATTGTACTCTGTGTGTGCTAGCCAGAGGTCATGAAAGAGGATATTTCAAAAATGATCCGTACATACTTTCGTTAGCCGTAACATGTATCAGTAAACGCGGAGTGCGCGATAGCCATATCACTAGGGCTATTATAACCGATCATCGATTCCACGAAGGTATGTATCTGCCACTTACCAGTAATAGCTCCTACATAATTTGTCTTTAAAAAAAAAAATTTTACAAGAATTGACGCGCTTTCACCACGAAGTCGCCCCCGAGGAGGAGGAGCAGTTGCTCTTAGGGTGCCTCGATCATATAGAGGAGGTTTACGCGGAGCTCAGCACCAGCACGGCAACGGTGATGCAAAGTGCTAACGGTAAAACATACTTTTTTTAAAAAAAACAGATTACGTCTAATTTACGTTTTATAAAAAAAAACGTAGCAGGTCCATCGACAGCGCTGGACGTGCAGGTGATGGAGGAGGAAGAAGAAGAAGAAGAAGAAGAAGAGTGTGAAGAATCGCTTCACAATACGTGGGGTATGCGTTAAACAGTATCGGAAGCAAAAGGAGAAAAAAGAACAATGCGATCTTCTTCATAATTTTTTTACAGATGAAATCATGTCGATAGCATCGGCCGCTAGCGATCGCAGTGTCTACATCGATGATGATGATGATGATGACCGCTCCACCATGTCCAGCGCTTCTAACGAACGCTATCAATGTAATAGTTATAAATTAACAGACACCGTTGAAAACTCATCTGTGTGAAAATAAAAAGTAAAAAAAAGTTGTAGAGCCGTTGGAGGTTGCTGGCTACGATAACCATATTGCACCGGACAACGCACGGTCTCCGCAGGAGCACGACAACGCTGAAAAACCGGTGCTATGGGTTCGTAGGAACGGCGTGTACGAGGTAGCGGATGCCGACAAAGCGGCCGATGCATTGGCGGGGTGCGATGGGGCCCCGAGCGCAGCGGCTACCCTCGAGGCAGGTAACGTAGAAAGAAATATTCTTTAACATTTAAAGTCCTCTTTGTCAAAACTGCTAACTTTAAAAATGTAGGGGATGATGATGATGATGAAAACCTGTTAGACGCTGTATTCTCATACATCGGGTCGATGTTTAATCCTCGAGAGGAATGAGAAGTCAGTAGGAGCCGAATACTCTTTCTTTTTTTGTTTAATAAAAAAAAATAATAAAAAAACTCTTTTTCCAAACGCTAGATGTGGTGAATGTGGACACACAGTACCAGACTGGCAGGGGACCCCTTCTTCGGTCACAGAGTTGTGTCGACGAAGACACCGACAACGAGGTAGCCAGCGATAACGACGTGTTACCACCAGGGTATAGGTTAACCGTACAAGCCGAAACGACACGTCGCATAAATCGGAAAAGTTTTTCGGAAAAACATTTTGCGGGACGAGCAGATAGCTATTGTTACGATTGCTAAATCCGGAAAATCAAGCAATCGTAAATGAAGTTTGTAATATAAGGGATGATTCGTTGGTTCGGTCTACTTGTACAGCACGTCCACGTGTTAATACAAGGCCTAACGAATTTTATGAATTGGAGTTGTGATAATTTCTCAAGATATGTCTCCGCGGATCTGGAAATATTCTATTTTTAAGTGATTCTTCGGTAGGTAAATCTTTTGGTAAACTTGAAAATTCTATAGGATTCAATTTCCACGGTAAGTATTGAATAGAATTGTTTTGTTCGTTAACTTGATATTCAGTCGCGACAAGATCCTTTTGGCTCGTTGGTTTTGTTTGTTTTTGAGTATATGGTTTATTTGATTGTCTGAATATTTTACATAACTGAACTTTTCTACCACTTCGTTTAGGCATACGTCTGTACTTACTCAGATTTCGTATAAGAAGTATATTTGGAATTCCTTCAGTATCTGATCGAATCTCTATTAGGATGTTCAGCTTGAATCAGTCCTATCCAAGTTCTGATGATGTATGGAATGTTGATCGAAGTTTCGATTTGTATTAATGATTTGGTAGGATAAGGTAGAGGCCCTAGATTCGGCTTCAGTTCTACCTTTTTAGAAATAGTAAGGATGGATAGAGGCCCTATACAACGGCTTCAGTTCTATCCGGGAAGGTTACGAGTAAATGTGAATACTCTGATTTTGGTAACTTGGAAAAGTTTTAGAGGTACTTGGTATTTTGGACTTCACTCACGACACACTCGACAACTCTGATGTTGCACTCTTAGTCTCTTTCTAAAACACACATAATGCTACATCTGGCTCCCTTTTTATAGTAGTAAAACTACTTCTGATTGGTCAATGTGACTCCCCTTCTTTAAAATTCTTAATATATCGATTGATAGCTAACCCTTTTCCGATAATCAATATACCAAGTCGTACTCCGTTATTTGAATCTCCTTGAATGTCATCCGAGAAGATTCAGGCCTATCCGTTTATTTATCATTGTTCAATTTTAACAAGGTAAAATACAATATTCAATATTATTAGTGTAACGTTAATAATATGTTACATTAATGATTAGTAGTTATAAGCCACTTCTGGCCGTCACAACAAACCCCC